TTGCGATATCCCTTACAACTAACTGTTTAGATAGAATATCAATCTGTCAAAATCAATCAATTGAAGTTTTGTAAAACATCTTCAAAATGTATATTCACAGATAATATCCAAGATTGAGCTGTTTTGTGAAGAAGAAAGGGTATAAATTTCAGTATTTGCCCCAAAGGATAGGAAAGTCTCAAGATCATTTTTCATGGATTCATCTGGCTTCTTCTTCTTAGAGACTGGTTTTAAAATTTGCAATGCAATTTTATGTGAAAACAAAGTATGAAACAAACTACCCCTAAAAACAGCTTCTTCTTTCTGAATCATACTAGATCCACAATGCAATGATGACTCCAAATATGTGTTGATTTTTTATTTTTTATTTTTGTAAACTGAAGTGTGGAGTCCACGCAGAAGAAGCAAAAATGTCAAAAAGCACGTCGGTTTAGGCGATATCAAGTGGTGTTGATTTTTTTTTATTTTATAGCTTATTGAATACTCCTTGGTGATCTTCCAGATTTCATTTTGCAATCTTATTTCTCTGCAGCCCACAGCCTTTATTCGGGAAGGTCTTTTAAATTTGCATTCACAAAACCTCAAGATGGCTCTCTAACGACCTGCAAGTGTTTCACACAACGGCAAAACTTGAACTCTGAAATGAAACATTGGTTCCCTAATTAGTGTCACCATTGTTTTAGAAGTGGAATGTGTTTACCGCTGCCTGGCTAATTTGGTCCATATACTGAACATTACATTGTTTTTTCCACGCTGTCAAGTGCATGGCAGTCCTTCCCCAACCTGCTTAGTAGCTGCACACAGACAGGTTCCATGCAAAGACTCTAATTACCAGGCCCTATTAGGGTTGATCAAGCTGCCTCCTCTTGATGTGTCGGCGCAGGAAGGGTAGGCTTGTCGAGTGGGGGTGAGGAAGGAGGGGCTGCAGCTATTAGATATAGAACCAAGGACACTGAGAAGTACAGAATGCAGTGTTTGAACAAGCCAAATTAGACCTGACAAACAAACTTTAGTGTGGTTGATATTTGTTAGTGGAGCGTAAAAAAGGAAGTAAATATGCAGCTGTGGGAATAACCGAGCCTTTCTTATCATGACAGGGTAAACAGATCAAACAGTTTCTAATATCTGGACTGCTTAAACTTTTTATTTAAAAAAAAAAAAAAAACTGTTTGTCTGAAAAGGGATTTATGACAGCATATGAGGGCCTAAAAATGCCCGTTTCACCCAAAAATTGACTGAATATTCTGAATAGCAAGTCAAGATGAACAGCGTACACAAAGATTGGGCTACACCATTTAATGAGATACCACTCCATGTGAGGAAGCTCCTAGTGTTTTCATCTTAATTTCAAATGAACGCTGCATCAGCCATAAATTATTTGCACAATATGTCTGCGCTTGCTACTGCGTGGCTGAGGCCTTTGACTCGACTACTTTGCTGGTGGGAGGTTTGTTGGAGTGGAGCTGTTGTGTTGGGGGATGTACACCCATCTTCATTTCCTCAACACTCCTAGCAGAGTGTTAAGACTGGTAATGCAGGCATGTCAAGTATGCAGCTTTCTTTCAAAACAGAAGTTTGTAAAAATGACTATGGGGATGCGCTTTATTATTTATGACACTGGTTGTTGAACAGACAGTTTGTTTGGCCGTAATATACACGTTTCATTTTTGCATCATTCCATTTGGGAGATGTGATTTTATTACCATGTAAAGTGTTAAATTCTGGACGGCCGAAACCAACAAAATAAATGAATAAAATTGATATTAGTAGGTGCATACCTTTTATCTGTGCATAGATTTTTAACCACCATTTCTTGAACAGAAATCATGATATTTAAAAGTTAAAAGAAATTTAATGAATTGTTAGATTTCAGTAAGTTTTTGAATTGGGCTTAAAGAATTAAAATTGTTCAATTATAGCTAATTAATAATTGTTTGATGTCTATACCTACTTACGCAGCTTCTTAGGAGCCTGGCAGACGGTGTGCACTGTAAACAGGTTGCCAGTCCATCAGAAGGCAGGGCAGAGAATTAAAGAACTAACAGCCAAGCTAGTAACTTTGACTATACCACCAGTATTGTTGCTAAACTAGTCAAAGTTGGACACAAGTCTACACTGTTGTACTCTAATACAGAAACTGCCTTAGCCGCTGCACACCAAGCTAAAGCTAAACACAAACTTTTTAACATAATTCCCGGAAGGTAGCTTGTCAATATATTACAAAAAAAAGAACAAAGATTAAGAAGCTCTATTTGTTAGTAACTTTACCTTTAGTATTAGTGCTATTAGTAGTTAGCAAAAACTTTCTTTTTTTTTTTTTTTGCTCCTACACAGAAACTATTGCTTACATATCATATGAAAATTCTTAACTCTTATTATGCTGACATATTTGTTTTGAAAATAACCAACGTCAACTTTACAAAATTATTGCCTTCTCCTGGACACTATACACAACCAATAGAAATGGATGGGTTTTATTATTATTATTATTATTATTATTATTATTATTAGTAGTAGTAGTAGTAGTAGTAGTAGTAGTAGTAGTAGTAGTAGTAGTAGTATCATTAATTGTTACCAAAATTAGGATTATTAGGATTATTACTGAATATTAAATTTTAAAAAAATTAATGACTAACATTTTATGACTGTAATGGCTCTTTTCTTGGTGTTCCTCATTTTAATAGCAGAGAGTTAAGACTAACAATTGAGAAGTATTTATCTTTATTTGGCAAGGGCAGTATGACCCAAAGGTTGAGCATAGGGGGGAAGAGAAAATGAAGGGTTTTTTTTCTTCTAAACTAATTTCTGCTGATTTTTATATTGCTCCTTTAGCATCTGTCTCCTGGAGATTTTTTTTTAATTATTATTTTTCTTTTACATAAAAAAAAACAGTTTTCTGAAAATAATTCTGAAATTTTACATCTTTAAGCGATTGCAGCATTATTTTTTTAATCCTTTCCATCACTTTCCTTCATTCAAAGATAGGGATAAGTAATAGTTCCCCTGAAAACAGCTCAGGATCAAAAACTTAAAAATTATGAGGATAGAAAAAAAAACAATCTCAAAAGTAGCATAGTTCTTTGTTAGTCCTTGATGAAAGCATACCCACAATTTTCTCTGAGTTATTACATATATAATCTTTGCCTGGAGGCCATATGCTCATTAGAGGCAACCATTATGTTAGGAGCTGAGGAAACCCATTATGCATATGACCAAAGGAAGGTTGTTGTACTTGAACATTTTGGAACCAATGTTGAAATAAAAAAAAACAAAAAAAAAAACATTTATTTAATTTCATGCTGCTGGTCTTTCCTGCACCATGCATTTTACATGGTAGAAGCATTGCCAGTCCTCCATAACCTCTTAGACTTCATTGTAAAACTGCAAAATTATAATAAAAAAAAGACATGTATGTTATTCTCAGGAAAAGGAGAGATACTGTAAAGTCTATAAGTCAGCAAGACAAGTCCAGCAAGTGTATTTCAGTGTACACACTTCGGTCCAAACAATGGCAAAGAATTTTCTGTGTGAAAAAAACTCATGTGACTTTGATCATTCAGCATACTACTGAATATGGTATACTGGAAATAACTTGGAAATAGCTCATTTGACTTTGGAAAATGGCAAAGACATATGCTTAAATCACTAGAAATCATTTTGTAGTTTCCGTCCCCTCAAGCTCCCAAAGCATCACTGTCTTAATATGTTTGTAGAACATTCACTGCAAGGCTCAAATCAATTATAGAGCCTAAATCCCAGTGGAATTCTTTAAAAGTGTGATTACATTATAATGACATCAAATCTTTTGCTAAGCATATTAATTATCACCCTGCTGACTGAACTTATCAGTGTCACATTTCAAGTGTGAGATCTCATGCAGTTGGATTCATTTTTACACAGTGAATGACAATTTTGTTTCAGCAGAATGCTTAAAAAAGTAATGTATACATACTTTTATGCTTCTGAGAATTACTGTTGATGGGGTTTAGTGAACGAATATGTGACTCATCTGTAAACTTTGAGTCGGGGTGAACAGTTGAGGGCAAACGTTCCATGTGAAATACTTGAAATAAAATTTTGACACATGAAATCACAATTAAAAACATATATAATATTAAAGCTTTGTGTAAGCAATATGTGCTGTAGATAATAGAAATAATATCTAATCAATTGATGAAATGTCTAAATCCATTAAACCTCTGTATGAACTGTGTAAACTATATTTATTTTTGTTTTCATTTAATTGTGACATATTTATTGTGACATTTTCAAACAAATGTGCTGAAAACATTCAAATTGTCACAATGGCTGGTCACAAAGACTATAGCTTGGTCACCTGTACAAAAGAACTGCAGATTGCAATGTAAATACCATTTAACCTTTCAAACCTGCTTTTAAAAGTTCAGGAAAGACAAATTAAGTTGATGATGTGTTGCAACACAGAACATTATTAAACAAAACTACTAAAACAACTATGGCTGCTTTTAACATGTAATTAAGTTTTCATGAATTTTTGAAAAAGCTTTTGATATCAATTATGTATTTAACAACTCACTGACATGTTTATTTACTTACAGGTAAATAAATGTTAACTAAAATGAACTAGAAAATACACTGTATGACTTTCCAGTGTTGTTCAAATGTATTGACTTAATTAGAAATGTTTGATGTATTTGTGACATACATTGAAAATGGCATCTGTTTATGGAGGACTCCATATCTATGTGAAGCCTTCTGAATAACAAACAGATTTAATAGACATAATAACATTTAATAGAAAGTAACAGTCTGTTACGTATGTAAGAATGGTTACCTATGCATAATTTCTACATTTTTGTCAATGTGCAATTTTATGTTGTCACTTAAAAAAAATATCTTGTCCTGGCTGCTAAAATTTTGAATATATGTCTTGGCGGTAGGCAAATTTTTCCTTCTGATATTCTGAAAATAATAAATTTCCTACACCGTTGGTGTACCTGAATGCGCCTTAGGTCTGACTTGTACAGGAAGCGCGGTGACGCTGGCGCGGTTGTTGAAAACAAACCCGGGGAAGTTGTTGTTGACATGTCGCTTAAAGATAGAGAGTTCAGACACTCAAACCGCTGCATAGCTTCTAATACACGGTTTTTGAACGGAAAGCCGTGAGGCATCACAAAGCTAAACATGGAGTTATCTCCGCTTATAAAGAAAATAGGTAAGCCGAACCGCTAGCTGAGTTTTGCTCAACTTATCGCTAACACAACCCTAGCGATGAAACCGTTAGCATTTCTGCTAATTTCGCGTAACTTTACGTGCATAACTTTGCTTAAACTCCTTTCCAACTGTCTATTTTGAACTCACTTTACTGCTTTCCTTAAATCTCAGGTCACTCTTTAGTGGAAATTAGAGTTCGAGCGCTGAAGAGCATCTTAAGTAAGCTGGACCATTCCCTCATCACTGTGACTGACATTGTTCAAGAGAAGATGCTGTTTGTCTATCTGCTTGAGTGGTTCAATTTCCCGGAGGTTCCAATGAAGGAGGAAGTCCTTGAATTGCTTTTAACATTAGCAAAGGTACACAATGCAGTATGTTTCAACTCAGTATGTTGAGGAAAAACATCGCTAGATTTGAAAGATAACTAGTTTGTCATTTTTGAACTAAATGTATCAGTTGGACTGAATAGTATTTGATTCTTGTCAACAGTTTCCTGCAAGTCTTTAGTGCGCTCTATTTCTGGTATGTGTAATAGAAATATATTTTATATTAGACATTAATTTTCCCGTGTTGCTACATCCAGCTGGAAGTGCTCCATTAGCTTATTGAGAACAGAAGTAGAATTTATCTAGAATAAAAGCGACTGACAAAGGCTGTACAGTCAGTACATTATATGTTATTGTCAATTTCTTCTCACTGAACCACTGTAGTTAACAACTGAACTCATCAGTTATCCAGTCAGACACTAGAATTGACCATTTTTAGTGATTTACAGGTCAAACTCTGTAACAGAAACATTTTATATCCTAACATTTAAGTGCATAAAGACTAAAATAAATCCTATAATTTTCAGCCAGTCAACAGCAACAACAAAAAAACATACATTTGTTTTACTTACAGAAAAAAAAAAAAATCTGACAAACATAACTGACACATGTCTTGATGCGTCAGTTATGACATATAATGGCATGCATATTTTGCATTCCTCTATATATTTAGCCTCTTCAATAGACTTTCATTACCCTTTATGCCCACATTTGATGCATAGCTTTAATGATACAGTAATTATTTGGAAGAGTGGTTTTGTTTATGAAAGTAATTTTAGTAAACAAATTTTACACACAGCACATGCATATCCGAATTGACAGGTTAACCCTATTGCAAAAACAAACAAAAAATATCTAGATTTTAATTGTAAATGTGAATCAGTTTATTAAACTTTTTCTTTTTTACCTAAAAGGCCATATTATAAATGCTGTAAAATGCATTTGTACACATTTAGTGTACATAGTCCACCATCAACATAGTCTTGTGTTCTTCAGTTTCAAAGCCACAAGATTACATCATTTATACATTTGAGTTAAATTTATAAAAAACTTCAAGTATTGGAAGATCAAAGATGAATTGTGTTTTTGTGTGTTTAATTCATGTCTGTTCATAAAGTTCAAAATAAACAAATATCTATCTTCCAAGTTTTCCAGTGACTACCTTGAATACAAATGGATCAAAAACTTTAGAGCGTCACGTGTTACAATTTTTTTTCTCTCATTTTGCCAGTGTTTATTTTGTTGTTTTTGTGTTCAAAGCATCCTAGTTCAGCGCAGATGCTGAGGGATGTCGGGGCGGTGGACTTTCTCTCTCAGCTTTCTCCTACAATCGAGCCCAAACTGCGAGCTGTCATCGATGGAACCCTGGACCAGCTGTTCCAGCTTCCTGAGCTAGTCCCCAGTCATTCAGCTGTCTACTCTCATGGACCGTGCAGCGCAACTACAACAGGTGTCACAAGCTGAACCAAACATTTCTTTTACCTGCGACTGATTTTTATTTCACTGTGCTAAATTGCAGCTGGCAAGTTGTCTTTTTACCTTCTCTGTTTAGCAGAAAATAGATGTTCTGTGTCTAAGATGTGCGGTAGCAAATGTCCTGTCTCCTCTGCAGCCCCGACACTTGTTCCAGTTGACGATAATGTGCCTAAAATGGGTTATTTCCACAAGAGTATGCACCACAATACAAATGTACCACCTCAGAAGATTGCAGGTAATCTTTACCGAGATATACCGCTGCTTTTTCTAACGGCGTATCCTATTTTTAATATAAAGATTGATTTGTAATTTTATTTTTTCCCCCTCCTTTTATGCATGCAGTGCGTGAATCTGTGAGATGTCTGAAATTTTCTGTATTTCCATGGCTGACTTTAACAAACACGGACCGACACATACTTTCTTCCAATGAGAGGTAAGACTTAACACAGCTTTTATTTTTCTTGTTGTTTATTCAGCTCCTGGCACGCTTCAGTTTTTAAGTTCCAGAAACTTTTGAATTTATGCCCAGCTCTGCTAACAGGATCACATTTATTTTCTGCTGTTCTTTTTTATTTCAATTACTTGGTTATGTAATGTTCATATTCAAAGTTTTTTTTTTTGCGTATATTAAATATATCCACACTCATTAATTTGATGCAGCTCTCTGGGGAGCAGCAACCCTAACATGGTGAGGACAACCTGTGAACTTCTGTGTGACGTGATTCTGCAGGACTTTCCAGCAGAAATTTTCCTGCAAAGGCCTGGAATCGTTAAGGTAGTTTGCATTATCATGTTTAAACATACATGCTTTGCAAAAAGTATTTGTACATCTTAAGCTTTTTAAGATTTTTGTCAGATTGCAACTAAACACATTAATGTATGTTGGGGGATTTTATGTGATTGAACAACACAAATTTAAAGACATGGCTTCAAGTGTAAATTGGACAGAGACCGAATTGGAGTTTCCAAAAAAATTGTACTAATTGTCTTGTAACAGATCTCAACCCCTTTTGCTGGAATGCCTTTAATGAAACCAAGTGACATCAAATGCTTCGTTGTATTTAATTAAATCTCAACAGAAATACAGTGTTGCTGCACCGTATGTATTGATACACCTGAAAAATAACTTTACAAATCAAGGATAAAGAAGGTCATCATCTAAAAATGAAATGTCTGCGTTCAGTATTCCAATTAAAACATGAATAATTGCAAAACAAAATAAAAAAAAAAGAACTTAAAATCAATGTAAAGTTGAAAAAAGTTCATACAAAATGTATTAAGAAATGTGTATGGAGTTTAAAAGAAATATATAGATATTTACAACTTTTTAAAATCTGCATTGAGAGTCTAATCATCTGCACACCATTTCTTCGAAGCTTGGTGATGGCAGCATCATACTGTGGGAATGCTTTTCTTGAGCAGGGTCAGAAAAGCAGAAAAGTTGATGAAGAAATGGATGGGTGTACAGCAATAGACATTATGTATTTAAAATTGTTAATCTAGAAATTTGCACCGCTTTTAAATGCTTTGAGAATATTCTTAAACCGAAAGCGACATTTAGACATACTGGAGAAGAAATGCAAGACTTCTTCTTTTTCTGCAGTTGCTAGAATGACCTAATTTCTGTTAGATTTATGTGATTGCTGCTTCACTGTAAAAAAAAAAAATCAAACCAAAAAACGGCTTTCTTTTGGAAAACGTCGGCTTTGGATACCGTGTCCTCGATCCTGTTGGAGCTTGTGGGGTTGCAGTTCTCTCGAGGTTTATTTTTCTTGTGGGTAGAAGATTGCTGTGAGGATACATATTGGCTACCATGTACATCGTGGAAGGTGTGAAGGTCAGTGCTGCTGGGGCGTTCTGTTGCCTTACTCCTACCAAGAAACAGTCGTTCACACTTTGAATAGCCACTGACCTTTTGGACTCAATACTGTGGAGACGTGTCAACAAGGGATGCCGACATTCTTAAGTCTTCATTCTGTGACAGGTTCAGACGTTCCTCGTTTACAGATGCCTCTTCATTTATCTGTTGTTTTTTGACATATTGAAAAGTATAGATTGTAGCTTGATAGCATCAGAGTGACTTGTTGACTGGGACTTCGTCTGAGTGTTTGAGGGAATATCATTTTGCCCAAATGAGCAACTATCAGTGTTGCAATTTGGTTAATAAAGTAGGGCTTAAAATTACATCGGTCTCAGGGCAGCATTAACACACTGTCACCCAGCAGTCATATCTAGGAAATGCTTTTCTTTGTGTTGCTTTCCCCTTTTGAGTTCTTACTTCAGTTAAGGGGGAAAAAAACAACAACAAAAAAAAAAAAAACGACTTAAACTTAGACGCATGTCTTCATTAGCAACAGACGACAGGAAATTAGAAGTGTGAACAAATTACTGCTTTAGTAATTCAATTTCCAGTTGCCCTTTTTGTTTATTGATTCCTCCTATATATTCACTCTCATTGTCTGGACCAAGATTATGTATTAAAAGATGTATATCATTGCTTCATGGATTACACAAACTAATACAAATCTATTCATGAATAAATTAGATATATTTTTTTCATTAGTTATCCAGCAATAAAGTACGATGACAACTGATGCTTCCTTTTTATCTATTCTTTTTTTTTTTTTTTTTTTTTCCCCGAACCTTTTGTTGCTGCTCAGGGTGGGTTCAGGTAAAGGTGAGGTCAGCTACCTCCACTCATCTGCTCTGTCCTGCCTGCGGCAGCTTTGTGTGGGACTGAAGAGGAGGCTGCGCTTTCATCAAGATCCAGGCTTCTACTCAGCAAAACAGGGTAAAGGTCCTGATTAACTGGCTCTATGTATAAGCCCTTCTGTTTGTCTGCTCCTTGCCATGTTGTTGTTAGTTTTAATAAGACATTCATTGCCTTTGTTGAATTCTACAATGCAGAAAGAAAATTAAATGTTCACTCGTCAAAATATTTTGGGACTTATTTATTCTGGAACTCTTTGCATCACCTTTTAAGAGGTTTAGGTTTGTGGTTTCCAAAGTGTGGTCTGGGGGTCATAGGAGGCCCTTGGAATGATCTTGTGCAGCTAATGACCATAATTCGTAGTCGGCTGATGTAGGTGACTTTATTTATTTATTTATTTATTTATTCTTTAACATTTTAAATTGTAATGAAATGAAAAATGTCAGTCACACAATATTTCTCTTTTTATTTATTATAATTCATAATAGAGCATAATTCTTACTTTTATAGACACTAATCTTGTATGATCAATTAAGAAAAAACCCATTTACAGTACAGCCATAAAAACCCAAAATTAATCTTATTGTTGACCAGGGTTTATGCAAACTTGCCCAGAAGTATAAAGACAATTTAGTGGAACATGTTGCCATATTATTATTCTATTTTTTTCAAGTATGCTTTTTACATAGAAAAAAACCCATCAGATGACAGAAACAATAATGTCAAATTTCTCTGTGACTGTTTAGATCCGGTGTCGCAGAACTCGTCCTTCTCTTACACCCAGGAGGTTCGGGGGAACCAGCGCTCACAGGCCTCCTCTCCTGCGGCCGAGTGCTCTCCTCGGCCCTCTGTGGTGGGTCGCACAGGCCAGAGAGCCAGGGGAGACGGTCAGGACGGAGACGCAGCCTCTAACAGGTGTGCCTCTAACTAAGATCTTCATGTTTTTAACTTTACAGCGTTTTTTTTTTTTTTTTTTTTTTTTATGGATAAGTAAAATAGTCAAGTGTGACTAAGAATATTTTCTGCTTTTCCAGCATTATCAGCAACGGAAGCCCTCTCAGAGCTCGTTTTCGTTTCATTTATGATGGCAAATTCTGTTGCCCGACCCAGCCTGTAATTCTGTAATTCTTTAATTAGCTTGATCCGAAGGGATATCAAAAGATTATGTGTGTGATTAATCCAGTGGCAGCTCACACGGAGGCGGGGCAAGGGCCCCAACCCCGCAACAGACGCCCCGTTCCCCTGCAGACGCAGCTCACCTGGAGCTTCCCGACCTGAGCATGGAAGACGTTCTGGAGCTTCAGTTGCAGCAGCTCAGCGTGGCCCAGTTTGCTGTTGCCACCATGCAGCACGCCATACCGCTGCTGAAGACAGGTGGGAGTCTGTTATTTTTGCTTTCTTCTCTGCTTGAATAAACTTGAAATATTGTAAATATCCCCAGTCCTGCTTCCCTACATCAGCTAGATTCTATCCGGTGTTATTTGATCTTGTCAAAAAAAAAAAAAAGAAGAAAAAAAAGAAAAGAAAAAAAAAAGAACCCCCTTCCTCTGCTTTTGTTCTGCTTCTCTCCTCCTCTCAGAAGGTTTGCATGCGTTCCACCGTGTTCTGGAGCTGCTGTGTGATGCTCTCCTCCTGCTCGGGGACAGCGTTTGCGAGCTGGTCTGGGACGATCGCAGCCTGGTGGGGATGGAGCTGGCAAGTCAACACAACTCATGACAGCCTCTTATGTAGATGAATGGATACACTTCACTGAAACGGGGAGTTGGCTTGGCCACCAGACAGTTTGTCACAGACACACAAGCATACGGTGCTCAACTGTCAAGGAGAACCGTGGGCATGCGAGCGAGCTGAATGAATTATACTCGCTTGCAAAGAGCTGCACGCGCAAACTTATTGTCTGCAGCACCTGGGTTAATCAAGCATCATAACTGCTGGGTTAGAAAACGTCTTCATTCATTATGTATGTTAAGTCAAGACAATAGATCGTGTTAAAAAGGCTTGTGCCTTTTAACCACACAGGGTTATTTATTATATTCGCTGGCAGCCTATGGAGTATGTTTTCTGCTGTGGGATTTACGCACTTGTCAAGCCGGGGCCCCCGCGGCCCTCTGCTGTTTAATACATACTCAGAGTCGTGCAACCTAAGAACTATTTTGTTATTTTTAGGTGGGGAGCAGCTTTTGTTTGCCAGACCCCTCCGTTTCCCTGTGGGATCGAGCCCAACCGAGCGATGCACAGGACCTGCACTGCCCCCTGCTGGCGTATCCGCTCTATTGTTCTGTGTCTGCATCCAGAACAAAGTGACTGAGAATAGATTGTTCCAATTTATTCATACTGAGATAGGGCGGATCTGTATCTCGTCCCAAAATAACCCTGAAATCTGATTACATTCAATTCCTCAAACCCGGGAATGAACAATTTTTTTTTTCCCTTTTTTTTTTTCCCCTCTACTGGCTCCTTGCCAGGAGCGCTGTTTGAATCTGAGAAAATGCGCTCGCTGGTGTGTTGGTGTGCGTTTGTTGCATGCGTGGCTCTTATCTACTTTTCTGTCAGTTTATGCTTTGGTTTACATTTCTCTCTCTGTTTGTTTCAGAAAGAGAAGCTGCAAGCCTGCATGGAGCAACTGGGGGATATACTCTTCTTTCACCAGGACCATTCAGCAGAGGCCCCTCACAGTTCCCAGGTTTCCCACAGAATGGCCTATTTAGGGACTGCCATGTTTACCATTAGACTTTTACAGACCATACTCCCTCCAGAGAAGGTGTGTGCAATGCCTTGCCAGTTTTTCATGTTCATGTTTATGTTACAACTATACTCTTTAATTAGTTTTAGTTGGGATTTTTGTGATAGACCAACATGAATGGTACTGAATTGGAGGTAGGAGGGAAATGATATAAGGTTTACAAATTGCTACACAACAAGCAATCTTAAAAGTGTGGCATGCTTTTTTATTCAGCCCCCTTTACTCTAAATGCCCTAAATAAAACCCTGGACAGCTAGTTGCTTTCAAAAGTTACCTATTATCGTCATAAGCCTGCATGTGCTTGTTCTAAATGAAAATCAGCCCTTTCTTCTTTGATTTCCAATTTTGACTTCCAACGATTCACTTCCTGCTAAAGAGCCCCCTGGTGGTAGAAGAAAAATCCACAGAAAAGCCTCACTGGGCTACAAGCCGCATGGTTCAAAGTGTGGGGAAAAAAGTAGCGGCTTAAAGTCCGAAAAATACGGTACTTGGATCTTTTGATGCTTCCAAAGATTTAAGTCTGTGGCGGAGGATCGTCTCTAACCCAAAACATACAGCTGGAGATGGACCTGTCTGGTTCACATCTGAGCATATCATCTGCTAGACTGTCACAGTCAAAGTCCTAAATCCGTTCAGCAATAAATTTCTCTGCAATATTTTGTGTTGGTCTGTCACACAAGATTCTAAGAAGATACTTGGTAGCTTTAGGTTGCGACACCACAAAATATTAACAAAAACCAGAATCAACAGTTTTGTGCTCGTGCCACCAAATCACCAGTTCATTGCTGTTTGTCTAAAAGTTATTGTTTTTGTGACCTCTGAACAGGCCAGTGAAAACCTCCCCGAAAATGCAGCAACAGCTATTTTCCACTTATGCTTGGACTCGTCACTGGGAAGTCTATTACCCAGCATGCAAGAGACAGCTGTGGCCTACTTGGAGCAAGTGAACTCAGACAGCCACGACCTCTACCGGAGGGTGAACAGAGCTGCGTTTTGGATGGAATCGACTTGTAACTTTGTGAAGGAGGCACAAGCTGAAGTATGAGCTGCAGAACGCATAAGCCCAAGCATCTCTTGAGTCTGTAATCGATCACATTTTTCTTTCTGAAGGGGGAAAAGAACTGGTTGGACCTAGTAGAACTTGCAGACCACGCCATAGACGGTCTTCCATTTCACCAGCACCTACCAATCGTCAAGGAATGTGTTCACATGTGCTCTTACTTGTAAGGCAATCATCTATATGTTAGTCCATTTTGATGTTTCATGAGATGCTTTGAAATAATTTGACTTTCCTTGATGAGGTGGAAGTTTGATCAGCCCAGCCCCCTCCTCCAGACTGAGAGCCAGAAACTCTTCCTCAAGCTGCTGTCCCATCCCTCGCCGCCTGTCAAAACAGAAACATACGAGTGTACTTTAAACCTGGTCAAGGTCAGAGCATGATGTTTTATTGGTGGCTGTTGTTTAAATGAGCATAAAGGGTCATGGCTGAAACATGCCAGCCGTATGTTGCTTGAAAAGGGGAGCTGTGCCTGCTCGCTCTCCGGTACCTAAATAAGTAAAATAGAGACAAATGAGGTAGAGCTCTTTGACAGCATGCTATAAAAGCCCTGCTTGACATTTTAAATCAGTCTCTCTTTTCATTTTGCAAATCAGAGTCTAGAATTGAGAGGGAATTGTATTTCATGAATGCGAGCTCAAGTGAGAGGATAGTGCTAATTTATGATGTGATTACATGTACCCCCAGGACTGCCTTGGCATCCAGAGTCTATCGAGACAGGAAGCAGCGGCATGCGCCGGTGTTAACTTCCTTCTCCACCACAGGGTCCTGTATGAAATGAGTGTTTTTGGACTGCAGGACTCTGCTCAAATGGTATTTGGATCTATGTTTGTGTTCTATGTTTTAGATGTAGGAAGGGGTTTTTTGTGTATTTTTTGTTCAGTTTTGTGTGTTAAGTGATTGTTGCTTCTTATGACTTTGTTTCAACAACGACTTTCTTCTTCTGTTAAAAATGTCAGGATTTTAAGTTCTACACCAAGATTTTAAGGAAGCTATGTATACTTTTGTCTCCTCTTCATAATTACATGCTATTTTGTGTTAGACTAAAACATAAAATTCAGATGAATGGAGTTGTAACATTGCAAAATCTGAAAATGTTCAAGATGGTACAAATCCTTTTGGCAAGACACCATCTATCCAGATAATTTAATCACGTTTAGTACCTGATCGCATCTGTTTGACTTGTGCTTGCTTTGTGAACTCAGCTCTTTACCTGTGATCTATAGGTGAACATTGCTGCCAAGGATATCCTGCTATTCCTCCTCAAGGGACGATTAATGATGACGGCTCGAGCCTGGGACAGATTCAACGAGGCACTTTACCCGGTCATACCCATATTACAGGTGTTGTTCACTTTGCGGAGATTACAGAGTTATTTCACTGCTGGGCTCTTAAACCAGCCTCCTGTTTGGAACTCATTGCACTATTTACATAGGGATATGACGGTGCGCGTTCGAAGAAGCTGTCATCTGTAGGGGAATGTTAATATTCTCAGAGCATAAAAAAAAAAAACTGCTTATCATGCCGCCTATAAGGGGAAAAACATGGTCATTCCCTCATTTACATGCTTTATGCTATATTGTTTCCTTTTTTGGGTGGCAGTAACAAACTTTTATTACTTGCTCAGTTTCAGGCAACGGGAAGCAGCCTCCTCATGAATATACATGAGCGTTTGACTAGGCTGTCAAGTGTGATTTAATTCAAACAGGCCATTGCAGGTTGGGCCCTCTGTGTCAACAAGAGATGAAATGAAACTACCCCTAATCAAAGTGATGCAGATTTTACTTACTGTTGCCATGCTTATCAGGAATTCCCCCTCTGTTCACTACTTTGTCTTCCAACCCAGCCTGACAATTACTTGTGTTATGTGTTTGTGGCTGTATTGGCAGGGCTATGCCAGCACGGAGGAGTCACTTGGAAAGTGTGTCCTGCTGATAAGTGACATGTCGGATGTGACAGGAGACGATGTTTTCCCCACCACAGACAAGCTGAAAGCAGCGCTCCGACTCCTCTTCTCTAAACAGCCCACGTAAGTCGGAGCTCTGGGTCTTCCCATTGTCTGAGCTCGTTTGATTGTTAAGTGCTCAGACATGTGTAGGTGTTTTTGTTTTCTTTTTCCCCTTCATGCATGCATATGTTTGTCTGGTATGATTCTTCTGCATCTTTCTGTGAAGGGTTGTTAGTCTGATTTTTTCTGATCTGAGTGTTTTTGGTTGAGGACAAAAACAAATGGCAAAAGGTGACCGTTTTGCTGTTTGACACATTTAGCTTCACGTTTTTAACTTCACATATAGCAATCTGCAAAATATTCACACTCCTTCAACTTTTTTTTTTTTTTTTCACATTTTGTCACAGCAAGCTTTTGTGTATTTTATTGGGATTTTCAGTGAAACTTGAGCCCCCATGATCTCCTGTTACTTCGCATGCTGGCTAAGCCTGCACAATGCATCGCCTCATCGCAATAGGAAATAACACAAATTACTGTTTGGAATGCAATTATTGTTTTACTGAAGTATTATAAAATCTAATTTTGAGGTCAATAAATCCACCAAATCCTCTATTAGATATGCATGATTGTTTTTCTGTTCTACGTATGTTGTTTGTAGTTAACACCAGTAAATATCAGATACATTTTAGATCATGTTTTTATTTCCACCTCTAGGCATTTTTAATGTGGATGGCTTGTAATGTTGGTATAATTTTAACAGACAGAGAGGTGTGACGTTGCAAAAATTTCACGTATTACTAATTTCAAGCAATTTACCTCTAAGGGTTTGTTAAGGTCACCTAAAACTTGCTCTTGACAGTGTCAGAGTAGCTGCAGTGCATCACATCCTGCCCCACCTAACCAGCCACGCTGATGCAAACCCCAGCAGCGTATTCACAGATCAATCAGTGGCCGCGTCTCTTCCCAACCTCTTCTGCCTCAGAGACCCTGTAGATGTCACTCTGGACACCATCAATAAGTCCATTCTAAAGGTACAAAGCCACATATAGAAAAAAAATGACAAAAAAAAATAAATTTAGGAGGCAAGACAGTTATTTTGTGTGTTTGTTTATGTTTTTTTTTTTCTTTCTTAGGTGGAATCAGTAGAAAAGCTGTTTTGCATCCTGGACTCAGAGACAGTAGACATCTCTCTTCGAAGATCGGCAGCAGAGCAGCTTTTTGTCGTGCTACAAGGTGAGAAGCCTACAAAATCTTATTAGATTAGATTAAAAAAAACAACTAAAAGAACAGTATTGTTTATATGATTTATATCCTTGCATACTTTTTGAGTGACCCACATCGTCTCTTTCTTGCATGCAGACAGAAAGTAGTTGCTAGCTTTTTTTGTAATTTTAGTCGAAAGTGTTATGCTCATTATAAATTGAGAAGAAAAGTTTAAAAGTTTGATGACTGTGTGTATTTCCTCTTGTGAAAAGTGCAATTGGCAGATGCTTCTGCTGCATTTCTTCCTTACCGCTGCAATATGTTTAGGCAAACAGAAAACGTAAACAAATGTTTGTTGCTGAAATTTGATCTCTTTCTGTCTCACAGACAAATCAATGCACTCGGTACTGACGAGTCTCGGCATCACAGAGAGAGTCATTTCTCTTATCACAGACAATGTAAATGGCAACAAGGTAAAAAAAAAAAAATACAAAACTTACACCTTTGGCAAGAAAGTAAATAATGATTGTTGAATAAATCCTTTGAGTCAAGTCGAGTAAAACAAACCAGTGTATGTGTGTTTGGTTGAAGTGTATGTGTTTGTGCTTGTGTGGACTAAAGCCACTGAGGCGTGGATGATTGGAGAATGAAATGGCCTATGCTAATAGTGTCAGACAGGCCGTGCTCAACAGTGATTTCTGCCCTCAGCCCAAAATTACTTCAGTCCGCTGATCATTTCCAGTTCTGGAATCAGAAAGCGCCGCAGGTGATTGTTCAACAAGTCTAGCTAACATGTCGGAGAGTGGATAATGACGGCATAAACTTAACTAAGCTATCATAAAAGAGACTGTTTACAGGAGATGCACCAGTCAGTAAATTGTGGCTTAGCTTAAAAAAAAAAAAATTGACAGTGCATCTACATTCTGCAGCTTCATATGTTATTAATCTTGTACTTATGAATGCGTTGCTGCTCCCCAGAGCCTCGATTGTCTTCTGGAGCCGTGTGTATGCATCTTGAGAAAACTGGTGTATGCCGATCCGTCTCTGAGGCACAGCCTGGCGCAACACAACCGCCTGCTCCTCACACTGCTCAGGGGTACGCAGAGCAACACACCTCATTTAGTACCAGCCACACACTCTGTGTCGAGTGCCTCGTGAACAAAAATCCCCAAGTCGTCCACTTGTGTGTTTGTTTTTAGACATGTTGTTGTGCTTCAGTAAGTGGCATATAATATGAAGTATGAGTATATATCTATGATGCAACTTGTTGATGTGTTGCTCAGCTTTAGTGCTAACAGCTTGATTTTTTTTTAAACAAGAGTTGCTGAAAAGTAGTGCAGCTAAAAAATGTATCTTATAATTTGTAGCTCAGTTCTTGTTTTCTTTATATAATATGAAAATTCACTTATACGAGCTGTTGACTTGAGTTTTAAGTCTGATTTGGAAAAGAGAGATTTCAGCTAAATATGTGCAAAGTTTTATACATGCTAAATTAAATTTTTTTAAACTTCAGTTTTAAGCCTAAAGGTGTGAATTGGGTTTCAGATTCATATGTTAAAATATGCATTCATTAACTTTGGTTATTATATGGATGTTTTCTTCCTTGTAGCTTCCTTGATATTGAAGGAGATCAAAGGCAATAACGCTGAGGTGGCCGTCCTCATGTGTTTGCTGCTTTTTGATGAGATCGCCTGCATTGAAACATGGTTGGTTCATGTTTTCTCACAATTACATTACAACAACACATTTTCCTGTATCAAAGTTACATACCAGGGTTTTCTGTGAATTAAGTTCAACAAATTTTAAATATAGTTTGGCTCCTGTAGTACAACATTTAATGGACAATTTTTTTATTTTTATTATTACAATTGTTATCAATCATTATTTATTCAAGAAAAATAATGCAACACCTCCACAAACAAGCTACAATGACATACAACCATACTTGTATAAACCTGAACTGACAGCTGGATCTCCAAAATCTAATGAAAACTCTTCAGATTTGGATTCACGGAAAATGCCAAAAACAGGCAACTGTTTTTTTTGTTTGTTTTTTTTTTAATGTTCTCTGTTTAGACTAAATAAATAAATAGCATATTTTATGGTTTTCTTCCACCTGATGTTAGCTTAAAAACCATTTTTAGGTTTCCTTTTATTCCAAATACAAATCAGAGTGCTTTTTTCTTTGCCTTTTATGAACTTTGTGAAATTTTGATGTGCCAATCAACATTTATGAACAGAATGTGTTTTATTTGAATTGTACAATTGTTTGTGAACAAAACGCCACTTGATTTTACTTTAAAAATATATATTTTTCATTTATCAGGTCAGATAAATCCACTTCAGATGCGACTCTTTCACCATTTTCTCTACCAGTAGCTGCAGTACGGAGGTAGGCCTCGTCAAGAGATGTGAAACAAAAAAAAATCACTTTTCTTAGCTTTAGCTCATGATATCATCTAACAAAGGATAATACCCAAAGATCTCTAATATTTCACCGTTGTTTCCTAAAGGTACAACATTCCCTTCAAGACAGCAACTCACCATGCGGTCAGCCCGTACTGCTGCATCTTGGCTCCTTCCTCTGACCTTTTGTCCCTGAGTCTTGCCCGCCAAGCCTTGCAGGTGGCCTGGAATGCTGCATGGCATTCTGGGATAGATAATCTCCTGGAAAAATCAAACAGTGTTGCCTGTGATGCTGATGGGTAAGGCTCTGCCTTTAACTTATACTGTGGAATATTTAAAAATTATTTTCAGTGTACTAATGTCTGCAGTAGGCTGCACAGTGGCACAGTTGGTAGAGCTGTTGCCTTGCAGCAAGAAGGTTCTGGGTTCGATTCCCGGCCCGGGTCTTTCTGCATTGTTTGCTTGTTCTCCCTGTGCGAGGGTTTTCTCCGGGTACTCCGGTTTCCTCCCACAGTCCAAAAAACATGACTGTCAGGTTAATTGGCAAATTGTCCCTAGGTGTGAGTGTGTTTGTGCATGGTTGTTTGTCCTGTTTGTCTCTGTGTTGCCCTGCGAGAGACTGGTGACCTGTCCAGGGTGTACCCTGCCTCTTGCCCGGAACGTTAGCTGGAGATAGCAACCCTCCCGAGTCCACTAAGGGACAAGGGTGTAAAGGGTTCTGCGTAGTATCTTGGCTGTGCCTAGAACGGCACATTTCTATATCTGATGCACTCCACCGGGCCATCCACCCACCTACCCACCTACCTACCTACTCATGTCTATCTTCTCAGGATGTGATGGAGTAGTGGGTGTTTGGTGTAACTGTCAAGTTTTGGACTTGAGACTACGGGAAATGTTGCTACTGAGTGGGTGGTGAAACTAGCGTATGAGGTGAGGAGGGGTTAATACGGGATCTTTACAATCATGTATTTTAAGTGACGGGTGGCAACCCCAGTCTATACCATAAACATCTGATTAAGATTAGAGCCTAAATACGTTTTATTTCCAAAACAGAAAGAGGCTACGCAATGTTAGCCAGCTAACAAATTACTATTGCTATCCTATCATATCAACTAACAGCTAGAAATAAACCAAAACATGTACCTTTGTAGTCAAACTGGCATTATTCAGAGAGGAATTTGTCCAGTTTAGATTATGTTGATGAAGACAAAATGTTTGCAAATAGTGATATACCTTCAAATCGTATTTGTGGCAGCTGCTTTAGAGTCCAGAAACAGTATTAAAGCCACACACTGGAACTAAAGATACACCCTGTGTCCAGTCAGAATGGAATTTTGTGACATCACTGTGAAAAGGGTCCCATTTTCTTGAAGCGGGAAAATCAATCAACCAAAGTGCTGGAACTCTCCTGGGTTGCTAGGTGACGAGGGTGTGGAGGGGGAGGGGCAGAGTGCCACTGGGGTTGCTAGGTAACGGCAAAGTGCGACTTCTCAGGAGCTTTTTGAAACTGCCTGTTTTACAGACACTCGGAAACTGTCATTTATTGGCAAATACATTTAAGCATTTGGGATGTTTCAAATGGAAGTACAAAAAAAACAACAACAAAAAAAAAACTGAATTTAGCATAATCAGTATCTCTGAATTTGCTGGAGCTTGTTTTTATTCTCACCAACTTCTAATTCTTTCACAAACCATTATTTTTAAGAATTATTTTCCCATTTTTTTATTCCTATAATTTTATTCCTGGGAAATAAAATAAAGCTCCAAACATGTAAATTTCCAACAACAATTTTAAATGAACTGTATAACTTAAATGGCAGAGATGAGGTTGTGACAGACCTTCCAGTCTTTTGGCCAGTGAGCGGGCGAAGAGCACATTGGGGAGCTTGCTCTTAGCGTAAGCTTGTGGATCGCATTAAACCTCTATTTTAACAAAAATGCTGTGTTAATAACAACATTTGAATTATCTGATGTAGCAGAATAATCGCAGATGTGTGTCATGTTATTACAGACCAAGTTTGTTACAAAATGTCATTTCTAAACAACCAGTTAGGATTCACAAATGGAGAAAAAAACAAAACAGTAGTAAAAACTCGAAGAAGTAGGCATTCAAAATGTGTGATATTATTTGCCTGATGATTTGAAGCATTTTACAAAAGAAACAGGGAATCAGGGGAAATCTTACACTTCACTTAATCTAAAATGCACTAAAAACATGGAGATTTTTCATAAAAATGTGTACAAAAAAGCTGATAACAGAATAATTATTATCCATCAACACATGTAGCTGATCATTTCGTTTGATTTTTTATAATCTTGTTAAAACATCAATGTCGTTCTTGTCTTCGTCTGTGGGAGACTTTTCGTTGATGTTTGCTTCACTCAGTATGGTTACCACTGTCGATATTGTGGCATTGGGATCCAACAGCTTCACCAGAGGTACATTCACTCCTCTCTCCTGAAACATCATATTCTGCAGAGTCATTGCCTGCATGGAGTCCATGCCTAAGGATGACAAAGGGTAGTCATCACTCAGCTCACTCTGATCAATGCCTATTGTCTCGCTGAGCAAAGAGAAAACATATTCTTTTGGTGAGACAGAATCACTTTGTTCGGTTTTAGACTGTTCCTCTTTGGATCTTTGGAAAGCCTCATTGACTAATGCAGAAAGACGTAAGGTCAAGGTTTTATTTTGAGAGAGGATGTTGTATCTGATGTTCCTGAAGTGAAACCTGCAGACAGCCTGCTGGGGCCGATTCAGGATGAGGCATTGCTCCAAGCATTTATGGACTTCTGCAACACCCAACACCATCATCCCCTTTGCCTCCAGAAAGCGATGGATGTGTTTCTTGTTGAGGAGCAGACCGAGGTTCAGAGCCCCCCAGTTGATGGACTGCCCAGGCAGCCCGAGTTTGCACCTGAAGTGGCAGAACAAGTCAAGAAAAGAGTTTGCTGCTGCGTAGTTTGTTTGGGATGCATTTCCAAGGAACGCTGAGATGGAGGAGAAACACACAAAGTGGTCCAGATGGCAGTGCTTTGTAGCATGGTGTAAATTTAACACCCCACTGACTTTGGGTTTAAAAACCTTCTCGTAAAGGGTTCTGTTAAGGGTCTCAATCAGACCGTCATGGAGGACAACCGCACTGTGAAACACCCCTTTGATTGGGAAACCCCTAAACTTCTGCTGGATTTCAAGGATGACCTTGTGCACACTCTCAGAGACAGAAATGTCACACACCATGCTGGTGATGATGTTTCCACATTGCTGCTGAATATTGAGTATTTCTTGCTGTATTTCTGCTGTGGGCTTGCTCCTGGAGAGAATCACGATGTACTCCCCTCCTCTTTCTGAGATGAACTTGACCGTTTCAAAGCCCAGGCCAGAGAGACCGCCTGTCACAAGGTACACTGCTCTCTTTCTGAACAACTGCTTCTTCACTGGCAGCAGCTGAATTTCAGTCAGTGCGGTCTTGTCCTCTTTTTCCAAAGCAATCACAGCCAGTTTCTTTGAACTGAAATATGATGATATCTGTGGTTTTACATCATTACTTTTAGATTTCACATTCTGAAAAGTGAAGTTTTCGATAACAAACTTCCTGCTGAAGTTCAGAGACTTCAGCCAGTGATAAATGTGAGGTGTGTGTGCTCTCAGATAACCCTTCTGCAAAACAGTTTGCATCTGAACTGTTTGCACATGAACACTTTCCTTTATATTTTGGCACAGGTCCTGAACAAGGAGGGTTTGCATTTGAGATTCACAGAGTACTACGACATGCCGAGCACCTGGGAAATCGCAAGTTTTCACAATGAGAGACTCATCGAATAGTGGCAGGATGACAAATGCATCCAATTGATTGACACCTGCAAAAGATCCGTTACACTGTGTGCTTAAAATCACATTCCAACCAGATTTATGCGAAGTAAGTGCAAAAACTTTCACAAGAACTGAATCAGTGTTGGGGCAAATGATCCCCAAATTCTGTTTGGGTTTAGGCAAGACTCGATGAAGCATCTCCCAAGCCAACACAAAATAGGAAACACAAGGCGTTTCTTGAAAATGTCGGAACCTCTTGATGCTGTAGCACACGTCCTCTGGCACATGAACCTTACTAGCTGCCACAACTGGATAACAAGAGGCAATGTGATCCCCAACTTTGAGTTTTCTGACATCTTTTCCAACTGCAGTGACAGTACCACTAAAGTCGAGCGCAATTAGCTCATGCTTCTGAGATGAATGCTTGTTCCAGTAGAGTGTCTGACCAAAGTTTAGATGTGAGGCACTGACTGGAAAGTAATCAGATGAATGAACGCATATTTTACTTAGTCGAATTTCAACTGATGTGCCGTTGATTGGATCCGTTTCCTCGTCGCTAGGAATGGCATTCAGTTGAGTCACTGTATGTGCGTCAGCCGTCTGAAAGATGCACGATTTAGAAGTTGTGGAGGTGTAACTACTTTCTGTATGGTCATTGTCTTCCAGTGGGGTTCGGACTATTGACGGTTTTAAGATCAGCCCGTCTTTTATGACCAGTTCTGGGTACTTTTCACAAGGATGTGATCTGAGGACCTCAGAGAGAGCTTTAATATCCTCAGTAAAAATTGAGCCTATGTCAATCAGTTGAAAAGAAAGATCAGGGATCTCTGCTGCAAAAGACCTGACCATTCCAGCCAGAGCAAAACCTGGACTTATGTGATCCACAGTGATGTCAGATGAGCGATAGGTCACTGCTCTGATGGCTTTGGGGAACTGAATCCACTTCAGCTCCTGGACAATTTGCCGGAAAATCTCACAGCAACTTGCAAGATCATGCAAGATGACATCTGGTGATTGTGATGTAAGATCTTCTTTGCCCCACAAAAATAACACTTCATCAAAGTTTTTCTTAATATCTGGAATGCTGAGGTTTGAAAGAAGAGATGGGAATCCATTGCTTAAAATATCTTTTGCATGTGTGAAGGAAACAAATCTAGATTTTTGGTCTAAATGCGGTTGTAGAGCTTTTGAGATGCCTAAATGATCAGAGAACACCAAAGCCCTTGGGGGCTTTGAAGAAGTGGAGCTTTCAGGGACAATACTGAAGTCATTATGGTAGAAGTACTCTTCAACCACCTGACATCGATTGCCGAGATACTGGATTATCACGTGTTTCACCTCAACCAACACTCTGCCTTCCTTATCTGCAAAGCAGCCACAAACCTCAAAGTGATCTACACCCACATCAGTTGCTCTCAGGTAGATAATCATCTCGTTCTGCAAGGGTTCAAACACAGCAAGGCTCCCTATTTTGGCAGGAAACCCCAGCCTGCCTGCAAATATATGCTCAACAGTGACAGGGAGA